TTGAACCATGACGCATAGCCTTTCAGTGCTTTGTCCAGACCGACGCCGCTCGGTCCAGGAACAGACTTTGCTCCAGGGGCGACATTCTAATGCCGCGTGAGATGACCATTCGCACAGTCCAAGCCTTGAGTTGGAGAAGGGCCTCACCTCAACTGCGTCACAGAATTTAAAGAACTCGGAGTATCCCGTGTAGAAAGTATTCGACTGCCAGAGCCATGGTCCGTTCTCAATTGCTCTGGGACTCATTAGCATCGAGGCATCATTCACCGTTCAAAAAAGTCGAACACAACATACGCTGCAAAATCATCGAAGTGCTTGAGCCCTCCCAACCCGAACATCTCTTTCAGTTCCTGCTGACGCTTGGTATCCCCTGACTGGTAGACGTGATCAATATGTTTCGCCACGCGTGAGAGATCCTTGCTGCAGTTCTTGGGCATGCCCTCGATAACGGGGACGAAATATTGCCACTGCATATGTTAACATGTGCTTGGTCACAACGTCTTGGCCATCACGTACGAAGTCATAGATAGCCTCCACGGGCGCACTCGATGCATGGTACGCCCAGAAGGTCCCTGGGGCAATGGATTCGGTCCACGCGCTTAGGGCACCGCTGTAGGAACCCCCAGTGAGTACCCATGGCTTCCATGAAACATCCGTCAGCATGCGGATCGCGTGATAATCCGTTTTTGGTAACTCTACTCACCGCATTATCAGCGTTACTGCTGCGGTCGGTGTCGAACGGAAGATTCACGGTCTTTGCAAAGTGGACAAGGTCCGCAATAGACTGCTCCAGAGTGAGGTACTGGAGCGTCTCAGTGGTCAAATTGGCGTATGGTGATGAGGCTCCCCAGTAGCGATCTGGGAGACTTGATGAGCACTTCCTGTACATCTGCGAAAGCTTACAACCCATTCTCGGTCAGGAGTACTCACGCTCAAGCAAAATCATCGCACCCTTGATCTCCTCAGCATAGCGTCCAACGAGCGTCTGGTTCGTCAAGTATCCAGTGTATAACGAAGCGTCCGCTTCACCTGGCGTGAACAAGACTACCTTTTCTCACGACGATGCTACGGTCAGCAACACACCACAAGCAATAGCCACCAATTGAGCGGAGGATACTCACAGGGGAGCCAGGACCAGCCCAATGTTGCGAATTATACCAGAATCTCTGGGCAAATGTCCCCAGCCCAGGGTTATTATGATCAATGTATTGCTCGAATGTCGCGTTCCCAGAGAGCAGCTGGGCTTGCGCGCTCAGTGGAGGTGGAACAGGCACCTTGGGTATGGCAGACACCACCCCACAGAGATAAGACGCAACAAGCGTCAGGGAAGCAGCAACAGTCCGCATCCTGAGAATCTAGCCTTCCGTAACCTGGGACCCTCGAACTACAAACATAAAAGGGAAACAGGAGAGAAATGAAAAAGGAAAAGCCATATTTATACGAAGTAGCTCTTCCCCCTATGCTCGATAATGCTCTAAGCAGCTAGTGATTACCAAGTGAGGGGAAGCAATCATGCAGCTACAGACATTCGGGAAGGACAAAGAAGTGCTAATTAATTGCATCTCAGCTAGCGCATGCAACAATCTTCACTGCAGGAATTTCTCTTAGCAATTAGCGTTGCTGAGATGTAATGTAACGACAAGCACTCCCCTTGCAGGTTAGCTGTTGCTCCAATCGGACAACAAGACTTGGCAGGCATCTCCAAGGCCCACTGCTTAGGGCATTTTGTTATCTGCGCTGATTATCGTCGTGCAGACTGATTCCCCGACACGTGTCGTGTGCGATTTGATTTTCTGCGTCTACTTACTGGTTCAATCCGTGGAGTCGATTTTATAGGCATATTGTTCAATTCAGCAAGAAATTCACGTTATGGTTCAAAAAGGAGACGCAAACAAACAAGGGACAATAGCATACAGCATGCCGCCCCACTCCGCGATCAACGAAAACGTTAAGGTACCCCGACGGAAGTCCGGGGTTGCGTGATAACGATAAGAAGGATGTAACCCTTTGAGTAATCGAATTCGACAACATTCTGCTTCGGCAGGCGGACACAACTAGTTTCATTCATTACTTTAGGTCATTACTTAAGAGTAAGAAAGTCTAGACTTCGACATCCACATATACACAATTGCAACCGAGGACAAAATCGCCAACCGCGACTCCGACGACTCGCCTTACCAGCCGCTCTCCAACCCCCAGGCCTTGACCCGGAAAGAAGTCTTATTGCTCAGATCACTGCTAGAGACCGTGAGGGTATCCAGCGGATGGGTTGGGTAGAAACTCATCGTTCCAGTTTGAATGCCCTCAGCGAGGGAGACCTCGAGCAGCGAGCGGTCAATGACACCGGAAAAGGTAAATTTGCCGTTGTCGAAGGACTTGACGGTCGTGTTGAAGACGGGCCAGTAGCCGGTGCTGTTGGCCTGGGTGAAGAGATGGGTGCCCGCACGGTTGATCCAGAAGAAGCCGTTGTCCAATCTGAGACCGCCATCGACGTACTCTCCCGAGGTTGAAGAGGTGAAGTTGAAGTTTACGTGTCCCGTTGCGCCAGAGGACGGGATACCGTTGATCTTGACGTCGAAGGAGACGGCGTTGGACTTGACGTCCTTGAAGTCGAAGGTCACATCGCCTTTCCCCGAGCGCTTGCCCTTCAGTGACTTTCCGCGGACGGAGTCCAAGTCGTCGAATGCTTGGTTGGTGACGACCCAGGAGCCGTCGACCTTGGTCAGGGTGTGCTCTTTGGGCAGCGACATGGAGCCTCTCCAGCCTTCAAGGGGGCCGGTAGGCACCTGCTGGGTGTAGTTCCAGTTGCTAGCCCAGCCGATGGAGAGCGGAGGCTCGTCCTCGGGGATGCCCGAGTACCACTGCGAGGCGTAGTTATCCTTGGCAAAATCATAAAGGGTCTCCTTGGGGGTTTCCGAAGTGAGGTGGGTTCCATTGAACGTTCCAACGACATAGAAGGTTCCCGAACCCCCGAGCGGCGCTCCAGGATTGACGGAGATGAAAAGCACAAACTTCGTGGAGTCCTCTGAGTCGGCGTTGTCGTCGACTGAGAACTTGACAAGGTTGGGACATTCAAACTGCGTTCCCGGCAAACCTGCCTGGGTGAAGTTGGAGGCATGGGTCCATTCCTTGAGATTGGGCGACGTGTAGAACCCAATGACGCGATCGTCCGCATAAGCAACGGTCATGACCCATTTCTGCGTCTCGGGATGCCATACAACCTGCGGGTCACGGAACTGGCTGGAGCCAATGTTGAGGACCGGGTTGTTCTCATACTTGGTGAAAGTGTATCCGCCGTCACGGGAGTAGGCGATGTCTTGCACCTGCAGCGTCGCAGTTGCCAGCGTGTAGATGGCTACTACACCGTCGTCCTGGTCTGGGAAGAATCCCGAGGTGTTGTTGCTGTCCACCACAGCCGAGCCGGAAAAGATCCACTCGTCCGGCTTGCTAGGGGAGATGGCAATGGGGTGGTTGGTCCAGTGGTACAAGTCCTTGCTGGTGGCGTGACCCCAGTGCTGATTACCCGCAACAATCTGGGAAGGATTGTCTGCGTCGTATTAGCACAGGTACACATCTATAGGGATCAATCGAGCTTACATTGGTAGTACATGTGATAAATCTCTCTCTTCTGATCGTAGAAAAGTCCGTTGGGGTCATTCATGAACTGAGAAGGAGGGGAGAAGTGAAGCTGAGGCCGTAGAGGCCCGGAATAGTTGGCTGTTTGGGCCGCTGCCAATGCAGCAGAGAAGAGGATGAGATGGGCACGCATTTTGCTCGTCTGATGGAGGATTGATGCCTTCACATTCCACTCTGGAAAACTTCCACAACTAGGAGGACAACGGGGTATTTATATCTCAATGCCCACAGCTGGGGCCTGAACTCCAGATTATTAGCAACAGCCGCAAAGACCCCAGACGGGGTACTCCATTGCACATGGTCAACGTGCTAGGCAGGATCAATTAGATGTAACTGAGAAACATACCGAAGCTAGAATGGGTCCCCGGGACCCGGCTCGGAGAATTGCACAGAAGCTTCCCCAATTCTTTCGGCTTTGTGCCGAATAGTAGCCCGATTTTGCTTTGCGGCTTCTCCAGATACAGCTACTTTCCAGCGAGCATACTCTTTGCACCGAGTCAATCAGTGTCGCAAATTCAAGCCAATTCCAAGCAATCTTGTACTCGGATCAAAGGTGATCTTACAGCAAATCTCAGGCAAGAAATATTAAGCCATCGACTACCCGGCCCGGGAGTGACGTCGATGTTGCTGGCGATGAGGTTGGCAATTCAGCTTGGCGAGATATAGTATCAGAATCCGGGACTTCGTCGGCGAAACCTCGTAGGCTCATGCGGCGACTCGCCATTTTACAATCCGGCTTTTCGTGTTCGGCAAAAGGGTTCCTGTTGCCCAAGCTTGTTCTCTGACTGACCCCCGCAATAATAGTCCCGGGCTGTTTTCGGATTTCGGAGGCGCGTCGGAGAAATTTCCCCACAGTTAGCAAAGGGACCTTCCTTATGAGGACGATAAATTGAGATCTAGTATCTATCCACAAAGAGCTGTCTTAATTTTAGTTCCTCAATGCCTCCAAGGTTGGAACTAAGATGTGATGGCAACTGCGAAAACTGAACTCTTGATGACTCTGATTTTGTCATCTCGTGTCTCGACATTTTGTTGACTTCCATACTATATAGATTGAATATCCTTTTTGCCTAGTGCTGATGATATTGCATCTTTATTTAGATTTTATGGGAAAGAGGTCGACTCTATAGGTAGAGTATGAGAAGTCACTGGATTCTGGTAGTTCTGCCATGCAACACAGTAGTTAAGGGAATAATTACAGAGTACGCTTCCATGCCTCACTGATATATGGAAGGCTCATTGTGACCCTTTCCTGTCGGATATGATATGATGTTAGTCAACATTTGTCGGGGTCTATTCTCTTGGTTAGTGTCCCCATAAGGTTGCTTCAAGTACACGGTCTAGCTCATCGCAATACTGAATCACTAGAGCTGGCTTTGTGGAGTTGCCCTTTGTCCAATGCTCACGAGCCTGTCCATTATCAATGCTGCTCCCCGCTGAGACTCCTCATTTATCTTTCCAATCAGGTCATATACCTCCTGTGCATCTTGTCTCTCTCCTTCTTGGTCCAGCCGGTTGGCAAACTCCTCCAAGCACATGATATACTCCTCATTATTTGCCTTGGCCCGTTCTGGTGGATCGCGATACTGAAAGAGTCCCGTACGGATAAAGCCTTCGTTCCGCAGGTGCCGTTGGATATCCAGAGTCCAGTTGTTGCGGCCATCAGAATACGCAAACTGCCGCAGTTGCTCCATCGCTAGGAGCTGCTCGACGTTTGTATTAGATTAGCTGAAATGATGTGTGCATCGCGATAGTTAAACTCATCCCACTGGATCCAGCCCCGGGGCTTCAACAGGGTGGAGACTTTGCGGATCACAGGAATGGGATCACTCTCTCGGACCACCAGCATGAAGAACCGTAGGTGAACAATGTCGTATGTGCCCACCAGATCAGGTGGCACGTCGTCAAATATATCCAATTGGCGCAGAGTGGCATTTTTTGGAAGCCACTCAGCTGGTGGCCCGCTGTCCAGACTGATATCCAAGCCATCTAACGTGGCTGTGGGAATATCCCGCGCAACTTCATATAGCCAGATTGCCGTTCCTGTGGCGACATCGGCAATTCGAGCGTTGGGTGGCACAGGAATTGACGGATGAAGATTGAACTTGACACATTCTCTGAAGAGGTAATGCTGGTAGTTGAGGCGAGCGGTGGCTGAGTAGGTCCGCTCGAGCATATAGGGCCTGCCGTTGGCCAGTAGAAACCCAGATCGAGCAGTAGAGTTGCCCGTCATGGTCATTGCAACCCAGAGTGAGGTGGTTGGAAAGGAAGGAAGTTGACCTCTGATTGAGACGATTGAGACAGCGTGATCTCATCACGCCATGCTGTCCTTGGAGATAACCAATCTCAAAAGAGGTTAACCTGCGGAAATTGAATGACTGCTGATTTGTTCATGATATGCTAGTCCATGGACCAATGCTTGGCCCTGCCTACATCCTGCGTAGAATAGGATGATATATCCCGCCGAAGCAATTATAAGCCGGGTTTTCCAGGTATACATCATCGAGTTCAGTTCTCTCGCTTGTAGGATAAGTGCACTCAGGTAGAGGCCCTATCGTGAAATCTCAAAAGTTGACAGGATTGAAAAAAGAGAAGCCGATGGGAAATGCTCGTAGTGGCTGTCAACCTTATAAATCCTGCGTGACAGCGTGAGGGCAATAGTATGCTAAAAATGCCAATGCTACGGGAAGTTTGAATTATCAGAACATGATGCTATTGTCCCGAAACTGATATCAATATTCGCTATTTTCTACGCCTCTGGAGACAGGCAAATGTCCTAGGCTCCTAGCACATTCCCTGTCCTGCTTAAGCTATATTGGGATACTCCCACGCTCCACACTCCCTAGCAACGCAGCCACTGCTCAAGAAGTTTTGCATAATAAGGGAGTGAGTCTAATGGAAAGGGAAGCAATGGCCATCCTATATGTGGCACTGCCTGATACCCGGCATATGCCTTCAGTCTTGTTTGGTGAAACCATCATTTTTCCAAAGCCTACTGAGGTGACATTGTTCAAAGAAGTCCCTTGGAGACGGAAATCTCGTATTCTCTAGCACACATGGACAGTACGCATTTTGTCACCTTGTCGAGCTTCACACCGGAAGCGCTACCTTCCGGTTCACGTTGTGGTCATCAACCATATGGCTACGTCGTGACCATGGTCATTGTATATGTCTTAAGCGTCATAATACAGAAACGCCCCCCGACCTTGACGACACACCCATTCAAAGTTGCATTTGGTGTAGTAATCGCAACTATATACTTCTCTCAATCTCCGCAACCTCCGCCATCACCTCCCTCACCATCTGCTTCACTCCTTCGCTAGGCTCCTCATACGGCGTCCTCGGCCTGAGCTTCTCCTCCGCCCCCTCAATCCCCGCCAGAGACGCACTAAACACCGCCGTGGCATACTTGGTCGCCGCAATCCCACTCTTACACGGACTCTCCGCCAGCGCCGCCTTCCGCTGCAACTGCATCGCCTCGTCAACCTTCCCAGCCTTGTAGAGCTCATACACCCGCGCCGCCGTCCTCGGGAACACATTCGCAAACGCCGCAATGCACCCCGCCGACCCAACACTCATTCCCGCAAGCAGGAAATCCGACTGCCCGCCATAAACCGCAAACTCGTCCTGCGAGAATGTCGCCGCCAGCCGCGTGATCTTCCCCACAGACGCACAGGTGAGCTTGACACCCACCACATTCGACACGCCGCTCGGGCTCGCCGCCGCCGACTCGCGCACGATCGCAGTCATCGTCTCGGAGTCGATGTCAACCCCGTTGCACACGCCGGGGAAATTGTAGATGATAACCGGAAGCGGGGCCCGCGCCGCTACGTCCGCGAAAAACCGCTTCACGACGCTCATGGTCGTCGCCTTGCCGAAGTAGGCGGGCGGGAGCACGAGGAGGTAGTTCGCGCCCGCCGCGGCGGCGTCGGCTGCTAGTTCCAGCGTCTGCTTGGTGGAGTGGGCGCCGACGCCAGCCATGAGGGGGAAGTCTGGGCCGACGGCCTCGCGGGCAGCTGCGATGAGCTGGGCGCGCTCTTCGCGGGTGAGTAAGAAGGCTTCGGAGTTTGTGCCGAGGATGACCAGGCCCGCCAGGCCGGTTTTGGAGAGGTAGGCCCAGTATTTCTTTTGGGCGTCGAGGTCAAGTGTGTCTGTGCTGTGGTTGAAGAAGGTCACTGCTGGACACCAGACGCCCGGTTTAGGAACGTGGGGTTGCGGAGAGACTGCGGGGGATTGCGAGTGTGAGCCCATGATGGAGTAGCTTTCTGACTGCTGAGACATAGATGAAGGGCAGTTCAAGTTTGAGAATATAGTTCGTAATCACAGAGGAATTGGCAGAGCAGGGGCTTTTATACTCGGTATAGCTACCGAAAGAGTGGGGAAGTCGGAAAAGAATCCGTGTCGGATGGCAACCCGAAGTACCTCTCTAGGGAATAATAAAACACATCATATTATGCATATTAAGATCCCAGATTGTCCTATCAGGGAAATGGAAGGATGAAACATTCTTTAAAAGCGCTGAAGAGTCTTGAATTGGCAGCTGGCCTGGCATTATAGGTTAACCAGTTACAGCTAATAGCTTAGACTGAAACAAACAGCCAGAAGGTCCTCTTGTAGTACTTTGCAGGTAAGCTACATGGCCTTAATCACTTGCAGTCGCTTACTATCTGGTGATTTTTGCTACTACTAAACCCAATTCCTTACACCTAAGCCCATATTAATCGGGATGCCCGAAAAAGGTCAATTGATATCAAACTGATCGTATCATTCTTCAAGACAAGGTTGAGCTTGTGAATAGCCGAATATATGGCAGGTTAATGCTTGATAGAGTTAGCAAGGACGCCTCCACAGAAAGAGCTCTACTTACCGTGACATCCTCCCATTTCTCCCAGCCACGTCCCTTTACTGCTGCCAATTCTTCGGTTGTATACTGTCTACCTGTCGTGAAGTAGCCGGCATTGATTTTCGCATCAATTTCAACACGAGAGTCGCTCGGTATCAATTCCTCCGGGATTGGCACGCGCTCGAGGATCTTGATTCCTGACTGGACAATGGCGTCGTGCTTCATGTTGGACATGGACAACATGCGGTCAACCTTCTTGATTCCAAGCCAATGAAGGATGTCGGGCATGAGGGCTTGGAAGCGCATCTATACGCTCATTAGTACAACCTCAATCTTCTTTATGGGTGATGTAACCCACATCTCGCACTCCAGCAATGTTCTCTGTCCGAGTAAAGTATTTGTCGGCCGTGTCGCCACCACGCTTGCGAGCGTTGTACACAAGATACTTGATCACTTCACCCAGAGCACGGCCTTCCTTTCGGAAATATATAACGACACCACTGCCCCCGTTCTGAGCTTCACGGATTGCTTCCCGAATACCGAACGCGAGATACGGTCGGCATGTGCAAATATCCGACTGGAAGACGTCACTTCCATTACATTCATCGTGAATCCGCAGCGCCAGCTTCACATTCTCATCAGACACACGCTCCGGTGGGCCAAAGATGTAAACAGTTAACCCTCCAATTGGAGGAAGGAAAACCTTCAAATCAGGCCGGGTGATCAACTCCGGATAGCTGCCACCCGTATGCTCAAACAGAGTACGCCGCAGCGTCCCTTCGTCAACCCCAAATCGATCCGCAACACCAGGCAAATACCAGACCGGTTCAACCGCGACCTTGGTAACGCGCACCTCCCCCGAAGAATCCACAACAATTGACCCATCAACATCCAATTGCCCATCCTTCACGGCCTCCCCGATCTCCGCCAGTTTCATATTCGCCCGCGTAACCGCCATCGTCGGCCGGATATCCCAGCCGGCGTCCAGCTCCTCCCGGAACTGGTTGACGACATCATGCCCGAACGGGTCCATGGAGACGATCTTCGTCTTGTCCGCCCACGCAGGCTGCCAGGGGAAATTGAACGTAGGCTCACTATTCCGGAAGTCCGGGCGGAAGTTCACATCCAGGTCTCCCGCCGCGATCGCCAGCGCGTTGTAGATGCTGTAGCTGCCGCCGTGGGCGCCCATGGCGTTTCGTCGTTTGAGCATTCCCCCGCCGCGGGTGACGATAACCGGACCACGGGATTTGGCATCGGGTGCGCCCCATACCAAGGGGACGGGATCTATGCCGCTTTGGCCGGGGTAAGTGGTCAACTGAGGGGGATTTTAGTTCAAACCGCGTTCCAGATTGCATGGTTGTGTTGGTACGTACCACAATGTGCCTGCTGTAACCAGTTGTCGGGGCCGTAGGGGATGTAGGGGATGTAGGGGTTGTAGGGGACTGGATGCTCGGAGCTTCCGGCATGGCGGCTGTGGTTGTGTCCCCCATGTTGTAAGTCAGTGTAGGAATGAGACGATATGTCAAAGCAAATGAAGATAATGTCTTTGGAAGAGCAGAGTCAAGAGATGATGAGAGAAGGAGGAATAGGAAGGGCGTTGTCCTCCTGCATCTGCATGTGACTTGTTATCTCAGGTTCTCTCCGCATCTTATCAGGCATCCCGGCAGATACCCCTCTTTTCCATTCTTTTCCAGACAGGGTGCTTCTCACCGCTAGAGTCATGGATATGTCCTTCATATCTGTACAATGAGCTGGTCTACTAGCCAAATTGCCCACGAACGTGTCGAACAGTCCGTGACTTGCGACCAGTAATTCACGAAGCTTGACAGAATCCTTATCAGTTACTACGGAGGATCGGAGATATCCGACCCCACAGTTCCGCTATGACGGCATCGCTGACCATGGCGCCTGATATACGGCCCCAGAGCTAGATATACCTCAACAAAACGACAAGCGACTATACGTCAATGGTATCTATTATCTCCCTGCATGTGTTTGTAGGCATCAAAGTTTACTATCATCACTGTGTACACGTAAAACGTAGCCCAAGCCAATTTATTCGTCGGACAAAAGACATCGCTGGAGCACGCCGGTCCTCCTCTATTCCTTCCCGCCTGCAAATTTTGGGTTGGCGCGCGAGTTCTTGATGGTTTTCTTGATAATATCTTCCACCTCATCCCAGTCCTTGGTATCCACGCGCTGAATCTCACAGTTAAAGTATGTCTGAATCTGGTTGAGCATTTCCCATTCCTCGCGGTTCGACACGAACGAGATAGAGACACCAACGCGACCGAAACGACCCGTACGACCGATACGGTGCAAGTAAGTCTGGAAATCTGCCTGTCGTCCAGGTACGCTGGGCTGATGGAGCTCTGGGATATCCTAAAGGGGATTAGACACATAAGACACAATAATGGACTTCCGGAAAGACGAAGCGTGAACTAACATAGTTGATAACCATAGAGACAGTGGAAACATCAATTCCTCTGGCAAGAACATTGGTTGCGATCAAGACCTTGGCTTCGCCCTTGCGGAACTGATCGATAATTGCGTCGCGCACCGAGGGGTCCCTTTCACCAGTCAATGATACCACAGTATGTCCTTCAGCCGTCATTCGCTTCTCGATTTCTTGAGCTGCTACACGAGTCTGGGGGGCTGATCAGTATGAAATCGTTGACGTGGCGCAGTGGCTTTACTAACCTGGACGAAAATAATGGACGATCCGACAGTAAGCAGTCCATAAAGTTGAACAAGGGTTTTGTATTTGTCCTCTCCATCCGCACAGTCAAGGTAGAGCTGCTTGATTCCCTCAACAGTCAATTCTTCGTGCTGAAGTGTAATCTCGTTCGCGTTAGGTGCAAACTTCGACGCGTATTGATGAACGTGTTCTGGAAAAGTGGCTGAGAATAGGACGACTTGAATATCCCGCGGCAGAAGACTAGTAAAGTCAGCTGGAACGGTGATAGTAGATGCAGAGTATGACTCTTAACTTACGCTTTAACACGGATGCACTGATCGCCGAGACCCTGCTGGTCGAGCATGTTATCGGCCTCGTCAAGAACGAGCACTTTGAGCTTGTTGGGGATAAAAGTGCGCCTCTTGATCATGTCCCCTACGGTTCCGGGAGTGCCAACGACAATAGAGCACTCCAGTCTTTTGGGACGGCTGTCTCTGTCGGTCGGAACAGCTGCGCCAATAATGAGTCCATCAACGAATTGACCCATGACTTGGACCACGCCGAGAATCTGACGGGCAAGCTCTCGCGTAGGGGCCAGGATCAACGCCTGAGGGGTCTTCTGCATTTGCTCCGTCGACAGGTCGACACGACTCAATGCGTTCAAAACGAAAGCGGCGGTCTTTCCGGTACCAGACTGAGATTGGCCGACCAAATTCTTCGGAGGGTTGTTCAATAGTAGAGGCAGGGCTCGTTCTTGGATCTTCGAAGGCTTGCGGAAGTTCATGTTCGACAGCCCTTTCAGAATACGGGGGTCGCTGTTGGGTCGCAAAGAGATTAGTTACAAGCAACACTGCACACGAAACGATGCGCCCTTACAGTCCAAGGTCCTCAAAGTTCTTGACAGAGTAGAGTGGGTTGTTGGGGTCGGCTTGTAGATCGCTGAGCTTGACTTCGACGTTGTACTCCGGCTCGTGGAGGTCGGAGCCACCAAGTTCCGCCGGAGCGCCATCTGTCTGATCGCCTGGGGTCGCGGGTGTTTCTGCTTGCAACAGATTAGTCGTATGTTCGATCTGATCCGCCGAGGAGAGATGTTATGGCGCTCGTACCGGAAGTGTTTGATTCATCGGGTTTCGAGATGCGATCGGCGAGAGAACCGCCCGTTGGGGCGGCTTCGACTGGCTGTTCTGAGGCCATAGTAGGTGACTTCAAGAGAAACCGAAGAGACTAAAGACGAAAAGGTAGTCCAGCAGTTTCGAAGCTGTGAGCAGGCGGGCAGCACCCAGAGCTCTGTGGAGAGTTTTTGGGAGGCAAACAGCGGGGTAAATGAGAGATAGACAAGAGTAAGGATAGAATCGGATGATTAAAGGAAAGACTTTATCACAGTGCAAGGACCAAGAGCCAAAATCGCACTGAATGCCGATGCGAATGGCGAGATGAGAGCAATTCAAGCTTAGATCCCCAATGAATCAAGCCGTGACTGCGCTTTAGGAGCAACAATAATGACGGTAGAAAAACCCAGCCAGGCGATAACGTGTAATCACACTTTCCTTCTTTGGGTAATCCCCTGACTAGCGCTGAACGGAAGGCGGTGAGGGGAATTACGTAGTGGTACCAGATGGTACAGAATGGTAACTTCAGTGCCAGGGCAACAGCGGTTTTTGAGGCCGGCATGGCCTGAGACCGCTGTTTTGGTATTGTCACAGCCCTCTCAGCCCAATGAGCCCATGAGCCATCGGCCATCATCCCCGCTTCCGCAATGCCCGCCGGAGTTAACATGAGTTGACAATAGCCTTTTGGTCGCTTCTTATCAAACATTTCCTATTTTTATTAGTCTCACCGAGTTGTGACACTTTACTGGCTGCATCAAACGCCAAGGGACGTCAGCACGTGGGGGATTGTGGCTTCTCTTTCACGAACGGTCGAACGAGGCCACCTAAGTACACGCTACACCCAGGTTTGGCTTTCTGACACTGTGTCTTATGCGCCGGGATACATCAGAGGCCCCTGAAAGATGGCGACTGCGGACGTTGCTCCTCATTTTGGGGCGGAGCTAAAGGTAGGGTTTACCATCAAAGCACTCGAGAATGGCTACCTAATACTATGTGTTGATATAGGACGCATTTAAACCAGTGAATAATTGGGTACGTACCGGAATTGTTTCCCCGCATTTTGTCCGCAAGACCAAGGAAAACGGTGTTGAACGTCACTCATAGGTGTCGAATGGGATACAATGGCTCGATGAGATACAACAGTTTTATCGCGAGCGGAGCGCGATCGAGAAGGAATATGCCGCCAAACTCACTACTCTCTGTCGGAAATACTACGATCGCAAGGCGAAGAAAATCAGCAGCCTGAGCGTTGGAGACCATCCTACAATGACCCCGGGCTCCCTTGAAAGCGCTTCCCTTACMACCTGGACGACGCAATTGACCGCCGTCGAATCGCATGCCGCGGAACGGGACAAGTTTGCCTCGGAGCTGGTCGCGCAAGTGGCGGAGCCACTCAAGCAAGCAGCGGCGCAGTACGAAGAACTTAGGAAATGCCATGTGGACTTTCATGCGAAGCTGGAGAAGGAGAGAGACTCATCGTATAGTGAGTTGAAGAAGGCAAAGGGGAAATATGATGGGGCATGCCAGGAGGTCGAGGCGCGCAGAAAGAAGATGGAAAGTTCGTTTGACCACGGAAAGGCGAAGGCGCAAGCTGCCTATCAGCAGCATATTTTGGAAATGAATAATATCAAGGTGAGCTGGCTGTTTTTTTTTCAATCCCTGCCTGGCCTGGTCTTGCTAATATGTCGAAGAACATGTACCTCATCAGTATAAATGTGACCAACAAGATGAAGGAGAAATATTTCCATGAATATGTGCCAGAGCTTCTTGACGTAAGTAGATGGCTTCAGGTTACGACGGGGTGGATTACTCACTGGTCGAATAGGGATTGCAAGACCTGAATGAGACCCGGGTGACAAAACTCAACTCGCTATGGTCACTCGCAGCTCAGTTAGAGAAAGCTTCTCTCTCCAAGAGTATGGACCACATGTCACATCTACTGAACGAGATTCCTCGAAACGTACCGCACCTTGACTCACTCATGTTCCTTCGTCACAACGTCACTCAAGTGCAGGAACCTGCCAACATGGTATTCGAACCCAGCCCTATCTGGCATGATGACGAGTCAATGATTACAGATGAGTCAGCCAAAGTGTTTCTGCGCAACCTGCTCAGCAAGGGCAAGACGCAAGTCCGGGACTTGCGAGTCGAGTCCGACCAGAAGCGACGGGAAGTTGACAACGCCAAGCGTGTACGAGAAAATGTTCGGCAAGGGAAGGATAACCGGAACGAAGTCGAGGTTGTCCGGTCCATATTTTTCTTGCAGGAGGCGCTTCATGAGACAGACCGGAAACGACTAGCTGCTGAGGTTGAAACGTCGACCATCATGTCGGTCGTGGGCGATCTGTCTCTAGGAGCCAAGAATCACAACTTCAAGTCACAGACGTTCAAGATCCCAACCAACTGCGATCTTTGCGGGGAGCGCATTTGGGGACTGTCAGCGAAAGGCTTCGATTGTCGGGACTGCGGGTACACATGCCACAGCAAATGTCAGATGAAGGTACCCGCGGAATGTCCTGGCGAGCAGACGAAGGAGGAGAAGAAGAAGCTCAAGGCAGAGCGACAAGAGCAAGCCGGCGCCATGCCAGCGCTCGAGATTACACCGTCGAACGGAACGTCGGCCGCGCCGTCGCTCACTCGGCAAAATACGATGAACTCTTTGAGCTCCGGATATGCGGCGAGCGCAAACCGATCGTTGTCAAATGTTACCAACCAGCCCGCCAGCGCAACAGAGCCTGCTGTGTCTGCTGAGACCAAACCGGCCAGCGCCGCTCCGAAGAGGAATCGGGTTCTCGCACCACCTCCGGCACAGTACGTTAGCGCTCCAGCGATAAGTGAGTTGCCAGCCACTCCCGCCAAATCAGGTGAGCCGCGTGGGAAGATGCTGTACGCGTACCAAGCAGGAGGGGCGGACGAAATCACAGTGCAGGAAGGAGATGACGTGGATATTATCGAACCTGATGGTAAGTTTGTCGTTGACACGCTGAGAATTGTTCTAATTGAGGTTTTCTAGATGGCTCCGGATGGATGCGCGTTCGCGCTGGATCGGGAGAAGGCCTCGTCCCAGCCTCATATGTGGAAGTGGCACCGACACCATCCCCTGCGCCCACGGCCAGTCCCGGATTGACCGATCGGCCGGGCTCTACGTACTCGAACTCGTCTGCCTCGCTAGCTGGCAGTATGGCGCCTAAGCGGGTTGGGCCTGCAGTTGCCCCTCGACGAGGGGCAAAGAAATTACAATACGTCGAAGCGCTGTATGACTACGAAGCGCGCAGCGATATGGAATGGAGCATGGTGGAAGGCGACCGTTTCGTGCTGGTCAACCGGGACGGCGGCGACGGATGGGCCGAGGTCGAACGGGGAGGGGTCACCAAAAGTGTACCTGCGAACTATATACAGGAGGTGTAAACGTGGCACCGTGCGGTTTTAAGCTTATTGTTAGGCGGTTGGCTTCATTACGACCATATTTATCTATAGCCTTGCATTGGTGGCATCAGCAGCGATTGAATGGATACCTATGAGATTGGTCTACGCTTCGTGTCGTCTTACTTTAGGCTTGAACTCACCTTGACAATTGGATCGCAATAGTATGGAGACAGCATGATCTATTCGGGCGATCGGTCTCATGATCTCTTACAATGGCCAGAGGGCGACCTGCCAGCTCACCAAAGCAAGGACCTTCCTTTCAGAGCAAGCGCAGTCGGAAAACAAAGTACTGTGCACAAGCCACGCAGAAGATACCTTAATTTCAGCCGCCGTTTCCCCTCAAAATTCTATTGGAGGCTAACACTGCAAGTGATGAGATTGTTTCTATTAAGGTACATATCTAGACAGTGCCGAGAAGAGTGGTAGTGTTGGTGAGTGTACTTTGTACGTAGCAGGGGGTATGGGAAGACGGGAATTGATACCGAAGTTGGCTACGACCGAAGTTGGCTACGCAGCTTGCGACATGGTCGATAAAATTTGTTCACCGGTAGAATTGTGTTCTTTCTTTTGACTTTTTGTATGAAATCCTCCGGTCAGAAGCGATTAATGAAACCTACTACGAAACCACTACGAAACCACTACGGGGCAGATCAGATAGAGTAGTATACAAACAGGACCACTACAAGTCTCGAACTACATGTGAAAATTCGCGCAGGAAATTAGTAGAGCTACGATCGTATCACCAGGAGGAAATACCTCATAGTAAATCAGATACAACATACCAGATAACCATGGAAAATCGGGGGCATGAAACGGCGCTGCGCCACGGGCCTCTTTCTGGCTTGTGCTGAAGCTGCTGCCGCCGGGGGGTAGTCTATGCAGTGCTCAGCCACCTCCATCAAGCGAGTTGATCTACACATTCATATGATTTCGATTACGAGCGCCAGATGAAAGATAGATTTCCGATTGATAATGGATTGGAAAATGATATTATTCGGTTACATTGTAGTTAGTTATTTGGTTACATTGTAGTTAGTCAATATTGTATGTCATTGATGCTCTAGCAAATTGATGTCAGGGTGTTCTCTGCTCTGTACACTGTAGTACCTGTACTCTGAAATCAGTAAATGTGTATGTCCGACTCCAGCCTCATAGTGACCCGAGCGTCTCAGTCAAGTCTTGTCCTCGCCTTAAATTTTTCTTCTCTTGCGGATCAAGTTGTTTGTCATTATTATTATCATTATCGCAAGATCTTGAAGATCCGTAACACCAGGCAGCAAGATTGGTTTTTCTTTGGAAGAGGGGCGGTCTGAAAGAGACCCTGGAGAACGGAATGTATGAGGGAATTTGCTGGACCACCAGTTTCGATCAATGCTAGGACGAATCTGGCATGTCTCTAGCATTTTCCCACTTGCGCTGCCAAAGGATGAAATGATATTGCCAGCTTAGAGCAGCATCTCCCGTCTTGCTGCTTTGCTGCTTTGGGTGCTAGCTGGGAGAAACTGGAAACACCCCTATCCCTGGGTTTCATTTGCGGGAGCCGAGGGTCGAAAATCCCTCATCGCTAGTCTCAATTCATCGGTTTCCCTCTTTTGTCTTCAAGGAAAAATATCCAACAGTGGTAGTAGCTGCCTGTGTATACACCACGGCACCCAAGGCTCCATCCAAACGAAATTTCCTGCTGATTCCTCAAGAGGATCCTCCTTTTATGACAGCCACCAAAATGTCGAATATTTCTCCATCCGCACCAATCATATCCTCTTGGATCCAATGACATCCTAAAAATTGGTCTCCATCACCTACCCAAGTGGGATCCCTCTTTACCTGCAGTAGCTGTAAGACCAGACGATCTCCGGACACCTGAGGCAGGCAGCTCCAGCTCCAGCTCTATTCCCTTTCAATCCTCCCACCACTGCCTATGATGCATTGTCTCATCTCCTCTCCGCCAGTCCACGTATAAATTCCTCCTCCTCATCCCTCTGCCATGGCTTCCTACTTTCATACCATCAAGGGATGCTCATTGACGGGGAAAAGTGGGCTTGTGAAGCTTGCGTCCGCGGCCACCGTGTGACAACCTGTAAACACAATGGTACCTCATTCCTCCACCCCCCATCACTATTGATAATGATTCAGTGAGACTCATACTCACACTCACAATCACAGATCGACCATTGATCCGCATCGCCAGAAAGGGTCGCCCCTTTTCGACCTGCTCTGTATGCAACTGCACCCCATGCCAAGCTCCAGAGGAGCACACCAAACTCAGACGTGAGGCAGAGTCCAAGTCTCAATCTTCAAAAGTAGATGTCACCAGACAAGAGGGGGAAGCACCGTCTTGATTTTGCCTTTCTTTGGGATTTGTCGTTGCCGTGCAATACTTCTCAGGCAGTCGTTCGCTGATATGGTGTTTCTCCGGTTCGGTTTCTCCAGAAATCATCCGGTAGACCCTCCCGCCCAAACAGCGCCTTCCAACCCATCGCACCCCGTCCTTCACTCGACTCTACACCGCCAGCCACCAGCCACGCATCAATCCCAGCACCGCTTGCAAGTCATCCCAGCACGCATCCCGGCGCAGGGGGCGCCGTCCCCGCACGACCACGACCTTCTCCGCGCCCCCGCAGCTCGACAGATGCCCACATGGGTATGACGAGCCACAGTCCCGGATACGCATCCGGCCAGGCACTCGCACACGGGCATCCTCATCCCGGCGCGCGATCCTCCGCCCCAGCACTCTCAGTCCCACTCCCAGTATTCACGACCGCGCCCCCACCCTCGCACTTCCCGCTAACCTGCGGGTCGTTCGCGACACCCGCCCTCGGGTCTGTCGCCGACATCCCCGTCTCGCTGCCTCTGCTGCACAGCGACGCGCACGGCCAGGGGTTCCTGTTCGGCGATGGCGCGGGCGGGTACGCCGGCGACGGGGTCTTCTCGCTGGATGACCTGGATGTGGGTGTGGGTGTGGGCGGGGCTGCGATGATGCAGGCCGAATGGGGGGATCAGTTCTGGCTGGGAGATGATTCTGTGTGATCTGATGATCCTGGCTGATGATGAGCTGATGATGATGATTACGATGTGATGATTTTCTTTTCTTTTGGTTTCGGGGGGTTGGGGTGGTTTTCGTGTTTATACCATAAAAGGTTGTTGTCCGTGGGATAACAGGACCATGACCATGACCGTGACCACGATCATGAGCGTTATATTCTTGTAAATGAGGAATAGATTGTGGACTTGAGTGAGTTTGCACTAGAATATAATATAGAAAGATTTAGGCATCCATTCAGCTATATATCTAGTATATCGGTAAAGTGGTGCTAAGCATGGGCGCTGTCAGCGTACGCGTACTTGTTTCCCCGCAGAGTGCCTGTCCTACGCAAGCGTAGGCAGAACAGTAACGGTCGTAGTAGCAGTCACAAGGACTTGTTTAGTCACGGTCACCACATCCACAGACGTCACCCACTTCGTGACGGTGGCCACACCAGCACCCTCGGCCTCGGCCCCGCTCGTCGTAGAAGCAGCTGCTGTCTGGGTTTCGGTAGCCGCTGCAGCGGAAGTCACTACTCCAGTTCCGACAGGGGTTTCCTGACCACCGGTAGGAACAGGAACAGGAACCGCAGTCTCAGTGCTGGACGCAGACGAAGCAGCAGCAATGGCGGTGTTCTGGCTCGGGGCGGAAACAACCACGCTGGAGGATCCGGAGTCGGGGGCGCTGCCCTGCGCAAGGATGCGCGCGACGGCGGCCTCGGCGGCGATCATGACGATGGCCTGAGTGTTGCCGGTCGGCAGGTCGGGGTGGATACTCGCGTCGACGACGTACTATCTTTGTCAGTATAGAATCAATAAGAAGGCGGGGGGTATAGAAAGAACGTACCAAGTTGTCGGTACCGTAGACCTTGGCGTTGGTGTCTACGACGGAGGTCCCGTTGTTACGGCGGCCGTCGTCGGTGCCCATCTTGGCTGTGCCGACGAAGTGATCGCCGCTTTCCAGTTTGGCGATGATCTCGGCCGCGGAGGTGAACCCCTGGACGGTGTAGGAGGCTTTCTTGAGGTCGTCGAGGAGCTCCTGCAGGAACGATGTAAGGGCCTCCTTGTCTTCAGCCGTCTGCAGCCAGGGATCGGTTTCGAGGGTTGTCGAACCGGCGGCGTTGATGCCTAGGACGCCGGAGGAGGTGGCGCCGTGCGTCAGGTACAACTTCATGGTGATGACTCCGTCGCCGCCGGGGCTGCAGGAGGCCTGGTAGAAGCGGGTGACGCCGTCGCTGGCGACGTTGGAGGTCCAGAATTGCAGGCGGTGGCCGCCCTGGGTTAGGATGCCGGAGCCGCTGGCGTACATGCGCTGCGCGAGGGAGTTGGTGGCGGGGATGACGCTGGAGGTGTTGAAGGCCGTGAAGTTGGCGCCGGTGTTGACTTTGACGGTGAACATGGGGTGGTCCTTGAGGTTGTGGCCGACTGGGAGGTTGATCCAGTCCGTCTGGGCGGGCAGGGTGATTCCGGTGCTGCCGCTCTGGACGGTCTTGATCTGCTCGGCAGGGCCGATACCAGAGTTGAAGAGGATGCGAGGTGTGGACAGAGCACCGGCAGCAAGGATGACCTTCCCGCCAGGACGGATCTGGATGAGCTCAATACCTCCCGAGGCGTTCTGAACCTCGACACCGGTGACGTGGCCGCCAGTGCGAATCAGACGGCGGACTGTGGTCTGCAGACGCAGGGTGAAGTTGTCCTTGTTCTGGACCAAAGGGAGGTAGGTGCGCACAGGACCAGCTCGGATGCCATTGGCGACCGACCAGGACGGGTAGCTGAACGCCTTGTGCTTCTCATTGGGCTGCTTGTGCTGATCAACAGACTTCCATCCGAGACCGCTCAAAAAGGAAGACAGCACGGTGTACATGCCCTGATCGTAGCGGCGGCCGTCAGCGGACGGCAGGAGACTTCCCGGGTTTCTCTCGTAGAAGCGGGCAGCGGCACTCTTGACATCTTGCCACTTCCAGCCGGCAGGCCACTTGTCATCAAAGTCTGCTTCCTGTGGGTAAATCAAGGCCATCGCGTTGACGACCGTGCCGCCTCCGAGAACACATCCCGCCATGCCGGCTGTATCTGAGCACAGGTAATCCCCAACGACACCAAGAGTGGTAAGTGCCTGGTTCAGGGCCGGGATATCCACTGGCGCCAGGGTCTTGTTCCATGCAAGAGCGTCAGAGGCACCCATCTGGACTGTCGGGGCAACTCCACGCTCGATCAGCAGAACACGCTTGTTTGACTCCGCCAGGCGCTCCGCAGCCACGATACCAGCCGCACCACCTCCCACAACGATGTAGTCGTATGTGGAGTTCGAAACCGTCGGGGTCACGCTGGCAACAGGGCTGCGACTAGGGGACGCGGTGACGGACGCAGACGCGGAAGGTGTGCTGGAGGGCGATCCGCCGGTCGACTTGGCCATGGCAGCCCAGGTGGAGTACTTGGAGGACTTGGCCTGGCCGAGGAGCATCTCAAAGCTGCCAAAGCCAGCGGCATGGTATGTCAGCGCCGAAGAAGGCGAGGCAGGAGTGGTAGGGCTGGTCTTGCTGAGGGCCCAGCCAAGGAAATATGTCTCGTCGGTGGCGTCGAATGTCGCTGGTTGTCCGAGGATGCAGCCACTGCAAAGGAAGGTATAAGTGAGATGAGTGCTGTTGACGGAAGTGCCCTTGGCAATTTCGGTGAGACTGGCGGCCCCGCTGTATACGTCCGGGTTGGCGTAGGTGGTTGTCTTGCGCAGACTCGAGACAACCGAGTTACCATTTGGCCAGGCACCGATCAGAAGAGCAGAGGTCATGGAGCCACCCAGACTGACACCACCCCATCCTTTCGAGCTGTCCAGCGGGACCACCAATTGACCGACAAAGTCGGTCCCTACGGTCTCCGGGAGGGCCACACCGAAGCAGAATCCGGTAGTTTCATCGCACCATCTCTGAAAGTCGATCCCGGATGCCGAGTCACTGTAGGCGGAGGAGTTGTAGTTCGCCGCAAGGGCGCCGAGCGTCGAGCTCAAGGCTACCAAGCCACCGAAAAGAAAGGAACGCATTTTATGTTCGGTCGATCAGAACCAGAAAGAAAGCAAGGTCGCAAACAACCAGCGTATGCTAAAGACAAAATCTGTTATAAATGAAAGGAACGGGATAGCCGACCCAGCAGCAGCCCAAAGCGAATGACGGCTAGAATCGCCGAAAGGGAAGAAGAGAAACAAAAGAAGGAATGGATAAGCGATAGATTGAATGAACAGCCATCGTGGCGAGGACATTATTCATATACACACCCATCCCTCCTCAGGCACGGACTGGCCCTGCACCGGAAAACGACCGAGAAATGAAGGACGGCACCCGGTGGATTGGAAGAATTAAGCCGGTGGGCTCATCGACGGCTAGACTAGACAGAAACCGGCAAAAGCATAACTGCTTCTCCGATGCAACGAATGTCGCATACGCCGGCAGGAAATAAGCAACCCAAGAAGCGCCGGCAGGACGTCAACCTGCACCGAGTGGGACGCGCTAAGCAGAGCTAGATAAGTCTGGTTTCATATTTCAACGTCGGTTGTTTGAGCCGTCAACCCTCGATACGAATATTGCCCACCTTTCCATCTAATCGAAACAGTTCCCCTCCAGGACGTTGATTATGAAGTGGATGGATCAATAAAGCGTGGTGGTTGATTGGTCGCCCGAGTCAGAGCGTTAATGAAAATACTCTGATATTAGGAGATTGAAACTGTTGCCGATGGAAAATGTCCGTAGTCGGTTAATGTAAGATTACTATTGAGGTCAGTCAGAATAGCACGATTCCTGGGGAGAGCTTATCCTGTTAACACTAGGCTTGATCAACAGCCCTACGGACAGGCTCGCAGCCGTCGTCTTGTCTCTCAGGAATCTTCCGCGGTTTGACGGGAGGTGGGTCGGTCGCTGCCAAGGGCACAAGCAGCAGGCGATCACTGCAAAACCGTTGACCAGCAAGGTAAAAGGTGAAAATTGAGTCATTCAATTAATCTATAAGAGGCCAAGAGAAGCCAACCTAAACTGTACATTTTCCCGAGTCTTTCTCGCTGGGGTGTGAAATAACACCACGGATAATTCATCAATTGAATACAATCCCCCCATTCTAGACCAACCGGGTGCCCGAAGAATTGAACTGAAGACGAACAGTAAAAATCACGGCAATAGGACAATTTGTTCAAAAGGGTATGAGAACAGAAAATTACAAAAGGACGAGGCCAGCGCCGAAGACGGTGGATAGGAGAGTAACCGCACCGACGACAATGGGAGCCATGGTCAGGCTAGGGACAGTCAGGCCAGCTGCAGCGCCCTTGGAAGCGGTGGAGGTGCCGCTGCTGCTGCTTCCAGTGGAAGAGCCAGATCCGGCAGAGGCAGTGGCAGTAGACTGGGTACCACGGTCCTGGCTGCCAGAGCCGGAGAAACCAGGGCCCTTGCCAGCACCCTGGGTCATGTACTTCTTGGCAGGCTCGGGGATGGCAGGCAGAACATCGTTGTCAACGTCCCAGTTGGGGGAGTCCTTGGCAGGGCAAGGGTTGGCACCACCAGTCTTGTTGTAGTTGCCGTCGCCGGAGGGGTTGGAGGTCTTTTGGAACGCGGTCTTCAGAGCGTCGAAATCGGCGAGCGTTTTGACATCGTTGCCGCTAACCTCCACCAGACCGTAGTTGCTGGCTTCTTGAGAGTACTCGTACACGAGACCACCAGAGTAGACACCGGTCATGTCCGTGGAGTAGAGGGAGCCGACTTCTTGGAATTGACGCTTGTTGGTGTTGCAGCCGTATTCGGACAGGAAGAGAGGAAGACCGTAGCCAGTGAAGTTCTTGACCTTCTGATCCCAGCCAGAGGTTGTGAAAGAGGAAGGATCGCACCAGGAGTAGTCGTTGAAAGCGAAAAAGTCACTGCGCTCGTCATCGGAGCCGCAGTTCATATACTGAGCCATCTGAAGACGGTTGGTGTCGATATCGGCCTAGAATTGGATCAGTCAACAAGAGCGCACGAGTAACCAGTGTGCACAGG